CCGTGTAAGACAATTCCTCCAGCTTGTTTTCTTCGCATTTGGATCTGGGCCCTCTTGATATTCTCCCAGTGTTCCAGGTTTCTCTCCAGCCAGCCCCTCCAAGTGCGCATTGCCCAGAACCGAATGTAGCACTGCCACATTCTCTCTGGAGCAGCGCCTTTCCTTCTCATACCCTGGGAATGTGGCAATCCTCGTATCCAGCAAATCCTCATTACCAGCACTGCTTTTGCCACGGGGGGTTTTCCAAGCAGTGCAACCTGACGCAGCAGCAATTGGCAGGGGCATTTTGAGTGTGGCGCATCTTCTCCGTGGGGCGGCAGAGTGGCCAGCAAAATGCAGCGCCCTCGTTTTGAGTCTCAGCATGGCTTGAATTTGACGAGCGACAGACGGGTTTCCTGGTTGGTTCCTTTCGACTCGGCGGTAGAGCCCCTGCTTCTTCGCATGTTGTAGGTGCCAACTAATCTCTGCTGTCAGGATAAGGAAACAGGCACTGGGAGAGACCTTTCTTTGCGCAAGACACTGGATGCCCACTGCCAGTTCTCAGTTGGCAGCCCTTAGCTAATGAGCAGCTCTTCTGACCTGGTATAAGGTGAATTTCTACATCCATTTTCTTTTCCCTCCTAAGGGGAAAGCATCACCCAAAAATGGCAAGAAAACAAAACACCACTCCCTATTTTTAAACAATGTCTCTCTTGGTTATTTTGCTGGTTTATATTTCCAAACCAATCTCTGCCAGGTTAAGAAGCGAGGTTCCATAATTGGGGTGGGGGGGGGCGGACCATAACTGGTTGCAACCAGCCAAGCCCCACTGTGGTCAGTTGGGGGGCATGAAGCTGAGCACTTCAATGCTCGCGCCATTTTATTTATTATTTTCGATTTATATCCTGCCTTTTTCCTACAAAGGGCTCAAGGCAGCTTCCATTATCTCTCCTCCTCCATCTTATCCCCACAACAACAACCCTGTGAGGTAGGTTGGGCTGAGAGATTGTGACTGGCCCACAGTCACCCAGTTGGCTCCATGGCCGAGCAGGAACTCGAACCCAGATCCTCTAAGTCCCAGTCCCATGCTCTTAACCACTACACCACACTGGCTCACACTGCCTTTAGTTGTCCAGCAGGATATTTTTCTGTTTTCGGCCAATCCTTTACATGCCCTGCACGTCTGGGGAATAGATCAGGAGATCTGTTCATACATAGGCATCTAAGGGTAGCTTTGCACAGTTGTTGTGTGATGGGTTGTGGGGCTGCCTTGAGCAGCGCAGGTGTGGTTACCTGTGCAGTGGTTTATATTCTGTATACCTCCGTGGTCCTGAGTTCCTTCTCCCATTCCTGTTTTTAAGAGGAAAAGATCACGGGCATTATTTTGATGCGCTTTTAGAAGGCTGCGTCTGTGCCTTGGACCACACTGGAAGGCGTGCCCACAGTGGGATGAGAACTCAGAGGAGATGTACTCCTCTGTACACAAAGAATCCCCAAGCAGCAATTGTGCTTCCAGATTCCAGATTGGATCTAAGGAAGGATTAAAAAGAGAGTTCTGCTGAGGCTCGCCCTCTCTTGCCGAACGTCCCTTGTTTAAAATGATAGTGGCATTATGAATCTAGCTTTCCCCCACTCCTCGCCTGACTAAAATATGCTCTCTTAATGGTCTTAAGGAAGCGTTTGCTAGCCAAGGTTGCAGCTGCTGAAAAGCAAACACGCTTCTCCCTGGGGCTGCTGTTTCCCAGGCACCCTGTAAATCTTGGCACATCTTTGTAACATGAAACATGCCAGATTTTATAATGCTGTGACATCTCGTGACTGGTAAATCCTCCCAGGGCTCCTTCTAAATCTCTGCGGTGTGGTTTCCTGCTGGAGATTAGTCATGTAAAGCAATTTTATGTCCAAAAGCTGTTACAGCCCACAGCAATGTAAAAATATAAAGAGATGCCCGTTTGTCGCAATCCTGGGTGTCGGCACAGATAGCCGGAAAAAGCGGGGAGGCAGGCAGTCTGCTTCTAGCAGGTCCAGGGAAACAAAATTCTTGTACGAAGCACTGCTGGATTCAGTATATTTTAGCAACTTGGGCCAATAAAACGGCGCTATATTTCAACAGCAATAGAGAAAAGCCACGTAAAAATACCAAGTTGCCAGAAGAAACTAAAAAAGCCCCTAATCTTATTAAAAGTGTTTGAAAACCAATTTGGAAAGATTCTGAAAACCATTGCAAGCCCAAGAAAGTGCAGCCATGTTTTGCTTGGTTTGTAAAGCTCCTCAAATGTGGAGACAGGAGGTTAGCCACTGATAAGGACCTGCTATTTCTACCATCCGAAATGGCACCCTATTTGTTTGTTTTTTAATTTATAGGCTGCTGAATAACCTAACAGGACCCTCTAAGTGGCAAACAGCAATATAACACAAGCTCATATTACAATTCCAGGTACAGGGAAACTGCTTGTAGTAGAGGGAGTTCTTACAATCATTTGATAAAAACCGGACTTGAAATACCTGTGAAAGAAGATAGCTTTTGCCTGGTGCTGAAATAAAAGCAGTGACATCGCCAGGCGGGCCTCTCTGGGAAGCCCATGCTGAAGGTGGGAGGCGGCCACCGAGAAGGCCCTTCTCATTATTGTCCCCTTTGCTTCCTTTCGGAATGGCTCTTTCCTGGCTCATTCCCAGACCTTAATGGGCAGCTCAGAGTCTATGGGGAAAGGCAGACTTCAAGTGACCAGCTCTCAAGCTGTTCAGGGCTTCCTGTGTTAAACCAAGCAGTTTAAATTGGGCCTAGGCTAAAAAGTGTTACACTAATCCAGCTGGGATGTTACCAGGGCATGAATAATTGCGGCCAGTCTCTGTCTATCCAGAGAAGGCAGTGGTTGTTGTATTTGCCACAGCTGGGAGAAGGGCCTCCTGGCCATCGAGTCCAGCCAAGATTGATGGGCCTGGTGCATGTTTTTGTGCTGCTTTTCACACGAGACTTCCTCAACCTGGCACCCTCCAGAGGTCCTGGGTTGCCACGCCAACGCTTCCCCACTCCACAAGCCGCAGTGCTGTTTGGGGAACGCTGGGAGTGATAGTCCAGCACCTCTGCCGGTCCATCCAGATGCATCTGAGAAACCCACAGCAGCCGGTGGGCACAACGCACTTCTTCAGCTGTCGTTCTGCAGTCAGTGGCCGTGTATTCCCTCCCCTGGGCTCTGTCTCTGATGCAGGGAGGTCCTGCACGGCCCTTGGTGGAATCTGCTCTCATGAATCAGTCCAATCCTCCTTTAAATCTGCCCAAGTTGATGGCCGCCACTATACTTGGGGGTTGTGGATTCCACAGTTTAACTTTACAGTGTGTGAGGAAGCTTTGTGCAAGACCCTGGGGCTTGTTACTGTCTACCATTGCAAGGAATTGTTGCCTCGGTGTAGTAGATCTTTTCATTTTTACAAATTCTTATTCAGAGTTTAAATAACGACTCTAAAAACTGCACCGGGGAAGAGCGCTTCTTTCAGATGGCAGACTAGTTGTCTGAGGCAACCGTAAAAAGGCGAGGCTTGTGATATATTAAAAGGTAAGTATTTTGCAGGATCATTAAAAGATAAAAGGAAGCTTGCAGTCGAGCAGCTGGGGATGCACAAGGGAGGCCAGCAAAAGTTGGGGTGGTAAAGAAGAGAGAACTTCAGGAATCGATGTGCTGAAAGTGGTAACAGCAGAAGTGGGCGCGTGTTTAGTCATTGGAGAACAGGGGCCCACAGTCAGAATGCCCTCCCTCCCCAGGAGTCGCCGGGCCTGAAAGCAAAGCTTTTAAGATCACTTGGGAAGATCTCTGCTCTCTCAGCCCCTTCGCTACCACCCCTTCTTTGCATCCGATCAGCCCCCACCTGTGCCAGAGAGCGTTGTGGTGGCAGCGGGACCCCACCATGGCACCAATTCAAAGGTCTGATGGAGTTTGAATGATGACTCCCTTCCACAACATGCCATAGAAGACGTTCCCTTACGAAGGCAGAGGCGGAGATTATTTTCCTTCTACACACGTGGACAATTTGCACTGCCAGGAATTGAGAGAGCTAATTGCATTGCCGTTTTCTAACAGGGTTCGGTACAACTGCCTGCCTCCCAGACTTCTCTTGAAGTGCATGTGGAAGCCCTTTGCTGGATGCCGTTGTGGTTGAGTGGGGCAAGGTGCTTTGATGCTGGTGCTCATCCAAGGATGAAGGCTATTTCCTTAAATTCCCTACTCTCGTATTAGCTGGAACAGGAAGGATCCTTCCCCTTCCCCTTCCCAGGGGCTGTAGCTCAGCACATGTCTGAACTCTATTTAAAAAGCAGCCCAAAAAGTTTGTGTATGTCATGGCATGCAGTAAACTTTGTAAGCTCTTTGTATCTTTCCTGTCCCTTAAATCTACTGCCTTTCAATGGATCAACATGACGTTTTATTTATATTTCTTCTAAATCAAAAGAGAGAAAGGGGATATTTTTACTTCTGTTCCTTTTTCTTACATCATGCATGTCCAAACTAGTGCAAATCTACATGAATTTTATTCTTGTTCATAAAGTTGCAGGAACTGCAGCAGATGAAAATTGCAACTGTTTGTCCAGTCAATTTTGCCCATTGTTATTCAGTACTAATGATTCGGTTCTTTAACCTATTTACAAAAAAAAAAGTATTAAGTTGTATTAATTCCTGGCCTGGACAAATATTATGTTCTGAACTTTTTGAGAGGGTTAGGGTTCTCCGGTCCAGGAATGGCCAGTGTGTTTAGGGGAGACCTGGCAGAATTGGTTTTGGGTGGTGATTGTGAGGATGCACAGAGTGAACCAGAAATTCCTCCATCTTGTACCAGGTTTGAAAAAGAACATCTGGACACTCTGTAAGTGGTACCTGGTTAGCTTCGATAAGTCACAGCAGAAATCTAGGCAAAAGGTATGATCGTGCGATTTTACAAATGTTTAACTGATCTAAATGTTGCCTGTTTTTTGTGGCTTATTGAATCATGCGTTGCTTGCACTGTATGAATGTGTCATTGTTGTCTTTTAGGAACGGGGAAATGCCAGCCGCTCAATGGCAACACGGGATGCTGTTTATGTGAACTTCTTCCTGCTTGCCCTGGTCACTGGATGCTAATACAGAATGTGTGAAGGGACAATAAAGATTGGCTTGCTCCTTCTGTTGTTTTCTGGTCCAGAGGAGGCATCGGATTGCCATGGTGACACTGTTCCCAATCTCCTAGCAACACCCAGTTAACTGAAGGCCAAGGAGAAGCATTTGATGATTGGTTTTACTCGGGTCAAAAGTTGTCTTCGTCATCCCAGGGAGAAAATGAAATTTCCATTCTATTGGCCCTGTGTAAAACTGGCACAATAGCATATCCTTCTGGCTACTCGCTGATAAAAACCCTTTTGGTGATGGCTACTGATCCAACGTGATAGGGTGTGGCGCCCACACGTGGACGCATGACCGGGTATACCATGGTGCGGAATGGGGGCGTAGGGAATGGAGGACAGCCCTGGATGTTACGGTGGTCCAGTCGGATTCGGCTCACTTGGCTTAGTTTCACATTATTCATCATCCTGGTCTTCTTTCCCCTCATTGCCCATTATTATTTAACCACCATCGACGACGCGGATGACGCGGGCAAGCGCATCTTCGGGCCCCGCACGGGCAACGAGCTGTGTGAGGTGAAGCATGTCCAGGACCTGTGCCGCATCCGCGAATCGGTGAGCGAGGAGCTGCTGCAGCTGGAAGCCAAACGGCAGGAGCTGAACAGCGAGATCGCCAAGCTGAACCTCAAGATCGAAGCCTGCAAGAAGAGCATTGAGAACGCCAAGCAGGATCTCTTGCAGCTGAAGAACGTCATCAGCCAGACGGAACATTCTTACAAAGAACTCATGGCTCAGAACCAGCCCAAGCTCTCGTTGCCGATCCGGCTGCTACCGGACAATGACGACTCCAGCTTCCCCTTGCCAAAATCCAGCAGGCATTGCCGGCTACACAACTGCTTTGACTATTCGCGCTGCCCACTCACTTCTGGCTTCCCAGTGTATGTCTACAACAGTGACCAGCTCAGCTTTGGGAGTTCATTAGATCCATTAATTAAGCAAGCCTTTGAATCCACCGTCAGAACTAATGTGTATGTTACTGAAAATGCAAACATCGCCTGTGTATACATAGTTCTAGTGGGGGAAATGCAGGAGCCCGTAATGCCAAAACCTACGGAAGTAGAACAACAGTTGCACACTCTGCCGTATTGGAGGACTGACGGGCACAACCATCTCATTATTCACTTGTCCAGGAAGTCAGAAACTCAGAACTTCCTTTATAATGTCAGCACGGGGCGGGCCATGATCGCCCAGTCCACCTTTTATGATGTACAGTATCGTCCAGGTTTCGACATTGTGGTATCCCCTCTTGTCCATGCCATGTCTGAACCCAACTTCCTCGAGATCCCGCCCCAGGTGCCAGTCAAGCGGAAATACCTGTTCAGTTTCCAAGGGGAGAAGGTAGAGTCTCTCCGATCCAGCTTGCAAGAAGTACGTTCCTTCGAGGAAGAGATGGAAGGCAATGCCCCCGCGGACTATGACGACAGGATCATTACCACCCTGAAGGCTGTCCAAGACAGCAAGCTGGACTTCGTCTTGGTGGAATTCACATGTAAGAACCAGCCCAAGGCAAGCCTGCCCACTGAGTGGGCTCTTTGTGGAGAAAGGGAGGACAGGCTGGAGCTACTGAAACTCTCTACTTTTGCACTGATAATCACCCCGGGGGACACCCAACTTGCAATTTCCGCTGGGTGTGCAGTGAGACTGTTTGAGGCCCTGGAAGTCGGCGCCATCCCGGTCATCCTTGGCGAGCAAGTCCAGCTGCCCTATCACGATGTCATCCGGTGGAACGAAGCAGCCTTAATTATACCAAAGCCACGTATCACAGAAGTGCACTTCCTTCTGAGGAGCATTTCTGACAATGACCTCTTGGCCATGCGGAGGCAGGGCCGCTTCTTGTGGGAGACCTACTTTTCCACCGCAGACAGTGTCTTCAGCACAGTCTTGGCCATCATAAGGACTCGAATCCAAATCCCAGCCGTTCCCATCCGAGAGGAAATGGCAGTGGAGATCCCTCACCGATCTGGCAAAGCTGCTGGCACCGATCCCAACATGGCTGACAATGGGGACTTAGACTTGGGGCCCGTTGAGACAGAGCCCCCGTACTCCTCTCCGAAATACCTACGCAATTTTACCCTGACAGCAATGGATATTTACAGAAACTGGAACTCGGCTCCTGGTCCGTTCCACCTCTTCCCTCACACCCCCTTTGATCCAGTCCTCCCATCCGAAGCCAAGTTTCTAGGGTCTGGGACTGGATTTCGACCGATTGGAGGAGGAGCTGGTGGCTCTGGGAAGGAGTTCCAAGCTGCATTGGGTGGCAATGTCCCCAGGGAACAGTTTACAGTAGTCATGCTAACCTATGAGCGAGAAGAAGTGTTAATGAACTCGTTGGAGAGGCTGAACGGCCTCCCATACCTAAACAAAGTGGTGGTCGTCTGGAATTCCCCCAAGCTTCCTTCAGAAGACCTCCTGTGGCCCGACATTGGTGTCCCGATTGTGGTAAGAGCAATTCAGACATTTACTTGTTCCTCCTAGGAGAGAGGTGGGAAGATTCTGTGCCTACGCACATGAGAGGGAGGCTCACCACTGCATTCCTGAACTTCTTCCTCGGACACTATAGTCCAGCTATCGGCAGAGGTGCTGCAGAACCCTTAAAAGGGACCAGCAGTCTGGTAAAGTTTGCAGTGAAGTGGATTGCTGGATTAAAGAGGCCTCCAACTCTCTTTCTCCACAGAACAATCCAGTAACAGAGTTCTGGCTTCTGAACGGAAAGTTCTTTGCTATAAAACAGGGCCTCTGCAGGATGTGGGATGAAGCACTGGCTGGCGGGGGGCCTTGAGGAATGAATGACCCTTCTAATCCAAATGGGGGTTTATTTACATATAAAGTTATTTCTGAACGGCCTGCTGGCCCTCCCAGGGGACCCAAAGGCAATTTATAAAACAAACTCCCCTCCCATTTAAACAATAACAGAATTAAAACCGAGCACTAAAACCATGAAGAGCGGCATTAAAAACCTCTGCCTTAAATTTAAAAGCATTAAAAGCCAGGTAGGATAAAATTGGTTTTGCTCCCTGCTTCAAAGACATCAGCAAAGGGGACTACTTCTAACTTGCCTTGGGAAGGAGTTCCGAAAAGAAATCCCCGAAGAGGCATATTATCCAATGGCCCTTTGCAGTGGTGGCGTAGCGCACATCTGGAATACAGATACTGTTTGATGCAATGTACTGTGTTTCGTGCTGTTGTACTTGAGTGGTTTATTAGGTCGGGCAGTTTCATCCCAGTAGGGTGGGACTTTTTGGTGAACATGCAGGTCAGTTGGGTCTTCTGTGAATTTGGTATTCTCTGCCCTTACCATTTGGGGACAGTATGGTCTGAATCTGAAGTCTGGGTCCTGCAAGTTGAGCCGGCTTAGTGAGGTGGCTGGATGGGGTCACTGAAGCAGTTGGCGTGAGCTTGGGTGGACTCCGGGGGATGGTGGAGGACAGGAAGGCCTGGAGGAATGTTGTCCATGGGGTCGCCATGGGTTGGACACAACTTCACGACTAACGACAACAACAAAGTGTGGTCCGGGGGTTCAGAACTTCGATCCGGGGTGCTCCTCTGCCGACCTGGGGTTTCTCAGAGGTCAAGTCCCTTTCCCTTATCTACCAGTTCTTCCATAGTTTCCCAGTTTTTGTGTGGTTTCCCGCATCATATAAAATGTTGAAATATTGCTGCTAAGGTATTTGTGATTTGCTTTCTTTTTGGTAGCTAGAGCTTCCTGTTAAATGATGCCAGTCCTGTTGGCGCTTTTGGATTACTCTTTTTGCCCTTGTCACACCTGGAAATGTGGTCTCTGAGGGCTTCATGCTGGAAGTTCAGCATCCCTTGTGTAACTGCTGGACTAGCTGTGGAGGTTCTGCAAGTATCGATCTGGGGAAACATTTTGTGGTTTGTGCATGGGTGCCTCCAAATCCAGCTTCCCAGGGCAGGTAATCTGTTGGGATCTGGATGCAAATTAGAGGCGGTGCAATATAAGTAGAGGACAACTGCGTTGAGGACTGGGTTCATACACTGTGGTCGACCATGATGGTTTATAAGCTGGGGCAGCTTATCATGGCTTTGACCAAACCCAAGTAGTTAACAAGCCATGCTTCTGGGTTCTGACAACACAACAAGCCAGCCGTGGTTTATAGGCCAGTGTGGTTTGTCATATGGCGTGAATCCAGTCAAAGTCTATACTGGTTAACTTCTTGTTTGTCTCCAGTTCAGGTTGTTTGGGGCAGCGGACGGGGGGGGGGAGAGTTAATGGGGTGCACAGCTTGGCTCATCTCGTCTCCGCCTGCCCAAAGTCCTGCAGATACGGAAGGATGAAGCATTGAAACAGGGGGCAAAGTAGAAAGGCCTACATGGATCTTCACAGTAAAGGAATGTGGTATTTGGAAAGAGGATGCAGAATGTTCATGAGGCTGGGCAAGGTAGGGTAGACTATTTCATATCTGGGAACTCAGCCCTGGAAGAGATAAACTCATTTTAATATTTCATCTTTGTGCTTCTGGGTAGTAAAGTGAATGAATACAGTTTTCCCTCCAGGAGCAGTGGAATGAGTTACGGTTGCTCATGTCATTGTAAAACAAACACTCACATTAGCTCCCCAAGTCTTCATTTTGGTTTTGTTTTTAAAAAGAATAGCAAACGTCCTCGAAACAGGACGCACTGGAAGTCTTACCGGCTTTTCCCTTTCTCCAAGGACAAGAGCTGCAAAGGGGCTTTTTGCATGCCAGCATAAAACTGAGCAAATCTTTTAATTAGATTCTCTGACTTCACCCTACCTCCTCCAGTTCTTACTCCAACCTGGAATTTGCTGTAATTAGGGGGATGTTGGTGGAAACTTGTTTTTATTTACTTGCACGTTTTAGCCTGCCTCCTTTTAATGAGCAGGGGCCCATTAAAAGCAGCATGCCATAAAGCCAGTGATATAAAATACCCCACGGAAATGGGCACTGTTGCATTTTCTCAGCAAAAAACAATGAAGGCATTGTTGACTTCCAGGAATCATATTTGACAGAAGTCTCTCTAACGGAACCAGTTCACTTTTAAACTGCAGTAGCGGCACCCATCAGCCTAAGACCGAGTCCTTTTGAACTGCCGTTTGCATAATTGGAGGAAGTCCTCCATTTCCCTTTGTGGTTGACTTGGCAACTCAACATTTCTATAGGCTGTGAGTCCTACATAAATATTGTGCTTCTGGTACCTAAAACCATGTGCTTTGTACACAGGACTGTAGCTGTGCTGTGAGCCCGTGAGACTGCAGAGAAGCTGCAGAATTTCCATTTTCCAGAGTACTGGTTTTCACTGAGCAGTGGCTGGTGAAACTAGGAGATTGGTTGAGCACTTGAAAACTGGACTTTGGTTCTCTGCCTAGCTCCTTGTCTGACTTGCATTACAGAGTTGTTTAAAAGCTGTACAAAGTTCTTATGTGGTAGGTAAACATTATTATCCCCATATTGCAGGTATGTTGGCTGGGGCTGAATGAGCAGTTGTTACGCTTTTGGCTTCCTAGCAGGTCCCTAATAAAACGAACTGGGGTCTTTTAAATTCAGAGCTGCTCTCTCTCTAAGCTCTGTGCTGCACAAGCAAGCTGTACCCACTACAAATGTAAATTTGTTTAACTTGCATAATTATACACAGGACACAACGTTAGTGCGGTGTTTGTTTTCCATTTTTTGTCCATGCACATCCTGGCTTGTACTTCCTGCTCATCGATCCTGAACGAATTAAACTGGGGAATTCCAGATGTCTGATGGCCCATTGCTTTTAAAACTGATGCTGAGCACAGGAATGAAGTGTTTGTTTCTTTAACACAGGCTGCAAAAACACGTGTGCTTTCCTTCCTTTGCCTGGTATTAGTTTATTGCAAGCAGTTAGTATGAGGTGTGATGGTTCAGAAAGCAAGGCTTTTCTCCAGTTTGGGGTGGAGGAGGTAGGGGAGACTTGGTGTCATTTAAAAATTGCTTTTTTCTATTAGCACCAAAACAATTTCAGGCCCCATAAGGGCCAGCAGGTGCAGAACAGTGATAATGCCACTGTGACGAAGTGATTACCGATCAAAGCACCTAAAGCAGACGGCTAACGAACTCCAACAAATTACAAGTTAATGAGATGGGGCATGTTGTGCATTCTGAAATAGGTGCTGCTACCAGAGGCATAGCAACCAATACTTGGAGGTGGCAAACCAGGGAGGGGAGGGGAGGGGAGGGGAGGGGAGGGGAGCCGAGCCAGTGTTTCCTAATGACTTGATGTAGTGTTGCAGGGACCGAAAATTTAGCACACCAAAATTTGCCACTGTTTTATTTTTCTGTGGAAATATTGTCGTTTCACCATTATTCACCATAGGTGCTAATTGCAAACACAGTATTAGGTGAGTGTGGCAGTTTCAAAGTTGTAAATAACATTTTTCGGTTGGTGAGCAGGCATGAGAGAATACGTGTGCATTACTAAGTCATGACATTCAATGGAAGGTGCTCCGGCAAGCGCTGTGGAGGAGAGGTGAAACCAACTGAGACAGAGATGAGTTCTTGTTCGCGTATAAAGCATAGGTTTTTTTGGGTGGGGGGAGGTTTGGGCTCTTGCCTTTACATTTTTACCTGTGTCCCAATGAAATTGCTTGTATAATTAAATCTCACTGACCGTGTAGTTCTGTACATGCCTACCCAGAAGCTAGTCCAACTCCGTGGGGCTTCCTTTCAACTAGGTCCATGTAGGATTGTAGCCTTACAGCACTCCAGTTTTTCTCCTTCAATACTTTAGGTTGAATACTTGTGCTGTGCTGCGACATGGAGTAGCTTTCTTTTGTTTCATTTACTAACTGCAAGTAAAATATGCTGAACTCAAGCACTTGCTGGAGCATCAGAAAATGTAACAATGTCAAATTCTTTGTTTGTTTGTTTGTTTGTTTATTTAGGCAACTTCTATGCTGCCCCATTCTCTGAAGCCTCGGGGCGGCTCACAAACCATAAATAAATAAAATTCAATAAAACAATATCAATTAACAATATTGTCCTATGTCGAATTCTTTCTTGTTTGTCTAATGCCAAACTCTTTCTTTGTCCTGTGCAAAGAAGTCTTTGCACAGGGCAAAATCAGCTTGCCTTGGAACATATTTGCATCCAATTCCAAATTTTCTAGAAAACTTACATCACTTCTTGTGTGCTGGGTTTGAATGCAGGAAATGCAGGTTGAAGTTCCCACTTGCTACCTGGCAAGTTTGTGTGCCCCCCCCAAAGGACCAGGTTCCTAGTTCAGGGGTGCCCCTGTATCTGGAATTGCTACTCGTGGGCTCCGTGGCACGGAGCACCTTCTCAGTTTAGCTGATTTTCCAGTGGCAACCCTGTCTAGACAGACAGAACCTAGCCATGGTAATCCATGTTCTGTTCACCTCTTGCTTGGATTACTGTAATGCACTCTATCTTTGTGGGTCTGCCTTTGAAAACAGTCTGGAAACGTCAGCTGCCTCG